CCTAAATGGCAAAAGAGGTCCCAAAAGCCAATGAGGAGAAGAATGCCTTAAAAAGCAAAATTGGCCAAATGGAAAAGGAAGTTCAAAAACTTACTGAAGAAAATCCTTCCTTAAAAATTAGACTGGAGCAATTGGAAACTAGTGACTTTATGAGAAATCAAGACACTGTAAAACAAATCCATAAAGAATGAAAAGATAGAAAACAATGTGAAATATCTCATTGGAAGAACAACTGACCTGGAAAATAGATCCAGGAGAGAGAATTTAAAAATTATTGGACTACCTGAAAACCATGATCAAAAAAAAAGCCTAGATATCATTTTTAAAGAAATTATCAAGGAAAACTGCCCTGATATTTTAGAACCAGATGGCAAAATGGAAATTAAAAGAATCCACCAATTACCTCCTGAAAGAAGTCTCCAAAGGAAAACTCCTAGTAATATTGTAGCCAAATTCCAGAGTTCCCAGGTCAAGGAGAAAATATTTCAGGCAGCAAGAAAGAAACAATTCAAGTACTGTGGAGACACAATCAGGATAACAAAAGATTTAGCAGCTTCTACATTAAGGGACTGGAGGGCATGGAATATAATATTCTGAAGAGCAAAGGAGTTAGGATTACAACCAAGAATCACCTACCCAGAAAAAATGTAAATTCAGTTAAATAGAGGAATTTCAAGCATTCTTGATGAAAAGACCAGAGCTGAATAGAAAATTTGACTTTCAGATACATGACTCAAGTGAAACATGAAGAGGTAGATAGGAAAGGGAAGTCATAAGAGACTTATTAAGGTTTAACTATTCACATTCTGCATGGAAAGATGATATTTGTAACTCATGAGTCCTTTGTCAGTATTAGAGTAGTTGGAGGGAAAAAATTAGATAGGTAGATAGATAGATAGATAGATAGATAGATAGATAGATAGATAAATAGATAGATAGATAGGTAGAGAGACAGATAGATGGCACAGGGTGAGTTGGAGATGAAGGGGTGATATCTGGAGAATTAAATTAAGGGGTGAGAGAGGATTGTACTGGGAGAAAGAGAAAGTGAGAGGTAGAATGGGGTAAATTATCTCACATAAAACAGACAAGAAAAGGCTTTTACAGTAGATGGAAAATGGGGGAAGGGGAGAGGGATTGAGTGAATCTTATTCTCATTGGATTTGGCTTAAGGAAGGAATAACATACACACTCAATTGGGTATGGAAATCTATCTTACCCTACAAGAAAATAAGGGTGGAGAATGGGACAGGAGAACAGGAGGATGATAGAGGGGATGACAGATTGGGGGAGGGAGTAAAGGGAACTTTATTCAATTTTGAGAATTGTGAGAAAATTTTATTGCATTGTCTGAATCAACCTTGCATAGCTTGAAAGCTGGACCACCTCTGCCTGCTGCTTGGAGACCTAAGGACCTAATTTATGCCAAGCAGAAACCCAATCAGATCCAAAGATTGATGCAGGGAGTTTTCTCATGGTCATACATCTCAAGCAGTCCATATGTCTTATCTGAAAACTGTCCCTGCATTTGTCATTCAGTTACTGTTGCCTTTTTCCTTTGATTGGGTACAGACACTTATGGAGGTGGGGATGGGACACCTATTTTTCTGATTTCAGGGAATTGTGCCATTTTGCTCTCCCCCTCCCAACATGGAAAGTCCCTAATCTTTCCTCCAATTAGAAATCAGATTATCTAATTTTGTACCCTGGTTTATATCCAGTTAATTGTTTTCTTTTAATGCATAAAACTTTGTCTTCCCCTATTTTTGGGGTCCAGTGCCAAGCTGAGGAGGCCTTGGTCCCAGTTGGCATGCATTGCTTAAAAAAAACAATAGGCCCAGAAACTCGAACCTTTGTTTCCTCAGTTATTTCAGATTTCACCCATAATGTTTTTGATATATACTTTTTAATACTAAAAATTATCTCTTCTATACTGATTCTTAGTGTGTGTGAATATTGCTCATTGTCAAAGGATTATTTTTCTGCATCTACTAGCATAATCACTTGAAGCAAGGAATTAAATATATATATATATATGTATATATATATATATTAATCATATTGGTACCATTTTAGTTCATGGTGAATGTGAAGTTTATTTTTTCATCAAAATAGGAATTGATTCAATTAGATGATTAATTTAAATTAGTAAACTAGTTTCAATAACTAAACTACTAGACCACATTCAGGAGGAAAAGACACATAGATAAGAGATGGACAGGGATCAGGCTTGTGAGGGGGAGAAAACACACACACAAACAGATAGCTTATTGGAAAAAGAAGTAAAGAGGGCAATGTTCCATGGAAGTGCTTACAAGAAGTTATCATACAGCAATAGGTACTTGCCCTAAAGTCATATTGGACAATTCTTTCTATGGTGCATTTGAATTTAGGATTACCTGACTCCCTATCCAAAGCAAGTCTTTTTGAGCCTTTCACTGCTCAGAAATAGTGAGAGAACTCTCACGAGTAAGAAGAGGTGGAGGAAGAGAGTCTATCTGAACTCATTTCAGCAATTCAATTTGATTTCAAAAGGATCTGTTAGGCACCTACCTTGTGTCAGATATTGTGCTAAGTGCTGGGAATACAAATGCAAAGAAGCAAAACAATTCTTGCCTCTAGGACATTTAATTCTCATTTTAGGAAAGCAAAGTGTACACAGAAAAGCAGATAGAAAATGAATACAAACCAGCTTCAGGGGGAGCACTAACAACTTGGAGTTTAGAGAAGTCCTTATGTAAGAGATGCTACTTGAGTTGAACCTTGAAGTGAAGTTTCAAGAGGTGGAGGTGAGTAAGGTGAGATCCCCAGACCTGAAACAGCTTGCACAAAGATGTAAAGAGAGGAGCAAAAATGGTATGTATTGAAATGAAGAATACTGAAATGTAATTGGCCTAGAGATTGGGAATATCTCAAAATACCAAAGGAGTTTGAGCATGAGAATAAGGTCATGTCTGGTTTTTCAAACCCAGTGAAAGAAAGAAAAAAAATCCTATAAATACACCGTTTCCAAAACAAGAAGCAACATCGAGAAGGAAGAAGAAAGAAAAAGAAAACCTTTTTTCTACTGTTCAGTAGGAGAGAGAGAGAGAGAGAGAGAGAGAGAGAGAGAGAGAGAGAGAGAGGGAGGGAGGGAGAGAGAGTTAGGAAAATGTACAAGTGTTCATTATTCATTGTATCAAATTTTTTCCTCTTCCAATCATTAACAATGAATATCACTGAAATAAATCTTCTAAACCTCTATAAAGAACATTTTGCAAATTTATTTAGATGAGTTTTGAGCATGTCTTGACTCCCAGATATTTCATGCATTTTGTGATTATTGTCAATTGAATGCAATGGAATTTATCTTTTCTTCTTGGTGTTTGTTATCACTTTAGGCATACTGATGATTTTTGTGGATTTGTTTTTAGATTTTTTTTGATCCTGCTACTTTATGTATACCAATAGTCTCATTTAGTACTTAAGGCAACTCTCTAGAACTTAGTTACAGAGATACAGATGGACATTTGCAGCATCTCTCCAATATATCCCCTTCTCTCCTCCAACATTGCCACCAGTATAGTGCAGATCTTCATCATTTCATACCTTGATTATTGAAATAGCCTGCATGCCTGAAGTCTCTCTCCACTTCAATCCATCCTCCATTCAGCCACTAAAGTGATTTTCCTAAAGGGTACATTCAATCATGTCACAAACACACACACACACACACACACACACACACCATTCAACAAACTCCAGTTGCTCCCTATTGACTCCAGGATCAAATACAAAATGCTCTGTTTGGCATTCAAAGCCTTTCATAACCTAGTCCCCTTGTACCTTTCCAGTATTCTTACATCTTAGTGCTCTTCAATTCAGTGACACTGGACTTCTGGCTGTTCCATGAGCAAGACACTCTATCTCTTGGCTCTAGGCATTTTCTCTTGTTGTCTCTCATCCCTGGAATGCTCTTCATCCCAAACTCTGTCTACTGACTTCCCTGGCTTTTTTTAAGCCCCAAATAAAATTCCATCTTTAACTGGAAGCTTTCCCTATCTCCTTTTAATTCTAGTGTCTTCCCTCTGTTAATGATTTCCTATTTATCCTCTATATTCATTGTTTTGATACATTTGTTTGCATGTTGTTTTCCCTATTAGATTGTAAACTTCAGGGCAGAGGCTGTCTTGACTCTTTTGTATCTCCAGAATTTAGCAAAGTGCTTGGCACATTGTAGTCACTTAATAAAAGTTTATTGATTGGTACCAATATGATTAAGAGCTTCCCATATTAATGAAATCACAGCTTCTTTGTCAAATATTGCATTACATTGTATAAATTCACAGAATTACAGCATGTTATAGAAAGAATGGGGCATATGAAATAATCTAAACCAGTGGTTCTTAATATAGGGTCTGTGAATTTGTCTTTTAATATTTTGATAACTGTATTTCAATATAATTTATTTATTTTGTAATTGTATGTATTTTATTTTATGCACTTAAAATGTTTATCCTGAGAAGGGGTCTATAGGTTTAATAGATTGCCAAAGGAGTTCATGATTCAAGAATCTGATTTAGACCAATTTTATAATTTTATAGATGGGGGAAATGAATCACAAAGAGCCAGAAAAGACAAAGATTGAATACCTATTAAGCAAGAAAAGGTAAGATCTAAAGGCATGTCTGCTGAATCTAGTTTCAGGACTCTTTACTACACAATACTGTTTCTCAGATATAGTAACACTACAACATAGTGTCTTGCTCACATACAATTTCTATCAATCCTAAAGAAAGAGTTATTTCTTCACACAATCTTTAATGAAAACAAGCTCAAGTACATGTTATTTAAGAGAAGAGGGTCCCCAAAGCCAAGATTCCTTTATAAGTTCTCAGGTAGAGCCCAGTAGAGGTGAGAGGACTGTTGCTTCATATATGTGAAAATGTGATTCAGGCTAGTGATGCTGTCAAGAAAGAAAATGAGTTCTTTCTTGTACAATCTGTTCGTGATAAGCTGCTCTAATAAGACAGTGCTTTCTTACTAAGGAGGAGTTTCCCCAAAGCCCCCTTCATGTCCCTGTTCCTCAAGCTATATATGAAAGGGTTCAACATAGGAGTGACCACAGTATATAGAACAGCAGCAATTCTGTCTTTCCCAGCAGAACGTGAGGACAGTGGGCACAGATAGACCCCAATAGCTGCCCCATAGAATAGGGAAACCACAGTGAGATGTGAACCACAGGTAGAAAAGGCTTTCCACCTTCCAGAGTTAGATGGTATTCTTAGAATGGCAGAGATGATGCAGACATAGGAGATAACAATGAGAATTAGAGGAGCAGTGAGGACCATTGATCCCACAATATACAACATCAACTGGTTAGTGCTAGTGTTTGAGCAGGAGAGTGAGAGCAAAGGGGTCAAGTCACAGAAGAAGTGGGGAATGCTATTCTCTGCACAGAAAGTCAAGCCAGCCATGAGGAAAGTGTGTAAAAAGGCAGCAGAGCTGGTAAGAATCCAGCACACAGCTAGCAATAGAACACAAATTCCAGACTTCATGACCGTGGCATAGTGGAGGGGCTGGCAGATGGCTATATAACGGTCATATGCCATTACTCCCAGAAGAAAATCATCAAGGGCCCCAAATGTCATGAAGAAATGCATCTGAGTCAGACAGCCTTCATAGGATATCCTCTGACTCTGGGTCCAGATGTTTGCCAGCATCTTGGGGACAGTGGTAGAGATAAAACAGATATCAGCAAAGGACAGGTTTGCCACAAAGAAGTACATAGGACTGTGCAGATATGAGTCTGAGCCAATTGCCAAGATGATGGAAAGATTTCCTACCACACTGACCAGGTACATGATCAGGAATAGCCCAAAAAGAATTGGTTGTTGCTCTGGTTCTTCAGAGAATCCCAGGAGGAGGAATTCAGAGACAATGGTCTGATTTTCTATTTCCATGTTCTTGGTAGAGACCTTGGGGGGTGGGGTGGGAAGGAATAGATGGGAAGGGCAAATGGAAACAAGTCACTCACCATTACAATGGGTTCTTCTTGTGTGACCTGTGGGATAGAACAACATTTCCTTTAACCCATTATGAGGTTATTTAAGAACAAATATGTTACAGAAGAGATTTTCTGCAAAGCATATGGCCTCCTATTCTCTGCTCTCTTGACTCTTCAAAATGAAGTTTTGTGTGCTAAGATTCTATGTTCTATGCTTCCTTCCAAAGCTAACATTGCAGCATTTCAAGTCCTGTAGCCCCCATTTCCAAGGAGGAAAGGTGCCTGAGGTACTAGCTCACCCCTTACACAGAAGGCATGTGCCTTCCTCAAGCAGGTAGCTGACTTCACTCATTACCTTCTGACAGATGTTACACACACTGACCCTAGCCTAAGCTAGCACGGGCAGAAGTGCTAGTGGGATATATGAAGAAATATATATGTCACTGAGCATGACTCCCATTACTATCCTTAGCCCTTACCTAGATACTCAAGACAATCTCACCTGTTTATTGACTCTATTGCTTCAACATTTGGATGGGTGGAAATTCACTTGGAGAAGTCAGCTGAAGATCTAGGGACCTTCCCTTCATGAAGCGGAGGAGAAGGGTTATTTAATGAGAAGCAGAGTACTGGATCCTTGATGTTTAGAGCTGAATGGTCTTCCTGTGGGTACTATCTGGGATATTTATTGGCTCCCAGAGCCTTTGGGGTCTGATTATCCTGTAACTGCTCGTTAGAGAAAAGCATGAAGTAATGATTTCATCTCTCTCCCCAGGCTCTTTGGGCTCAGCCCACCTTGAAGTTGTTGCAGATTGTGCAACCTCTATCTCCTAGCAGTTTTCATATGGGAGTAAAGAAATCAGTAATCCAGTCTTGAGTCTAAGAGATGGGCTCTAATCAAGTCAATTAGAGATTGAAATAACCTTCACTCTCTCTGGTCCCACTTATCTCCAAAAAATAATCCCCACTACTACACCACACACACACACTTACACAATAAGTCATCATCTTGCCTCTATTTTGATGACCTTCAATAACAGGGATCCCATTACCTCCAGTAGTAGCCCATTTCATTTTGTCCTGTTGTCCCTCGAGCATCCTACATGCCTTCCTCTTGTCTCAAATTTGTCAGTTTCCTTGTTATAATATATTATGCTCAGAATTGATTATAGTACTGAAGATGAATCTGATCATGGCAGAGGACAGAGGGACTTAACTACCATCTTCATTCTGAACACTCTGCCTCTATTAATGCACCTGGAGTTTACATTTGCTTTTTTTTTGTTTGGCTGCCATGCCATGTCATGCTATACTTCCAACTCACAACAACCCTAATATCTTTTACAAAAATAAACTGCTATCTAGCCAGATCTCCACCATTTTTGTACTTGTACAACTAACTTTTTGAACACATACATAGAGCTTTACAGTTACCCAGATTAAAATTCTATCTTTTTAGATTCATCCCATTATTCTAGACTATCAAGATCTTTTTTGATCTGGGCCTTATCTGTCATTTTAGTTATCCCTTCTAGATATGTGTCATATATAAATTTAGTAAGCATGTAATTTATTCATTCTTCCAAGTCATTGATAAAAATGTTGAATAGCATATGGCCAATGATAGGTCACTAAGGCACTCCATTAACAAACCCAATCAAATTTAACATAGCTCCAGTAATTTTGGTCCATTAATTCAATTGTTTTTAAATTCACCTAATTTTGCTACTACTAATATTACCTGACATTTACATAATGCTTTCTGTTTTGCAAAGCACTTTACAAACTCATTTGAGCTCCCACAAGAAGACTGGGAAGTAGGTAACACAGGCATTTTTACCTTCATGTTACAGGTAGGGAAACTGAGGTTCAGAAAGGTTAACTGACTTGCCCATGGTTACCCAGATAGTGTCAGAGGTACCATCTGAACCTAGGTCTTCTTGACTCCCTATTTAGCTTTTTGTCTATTATGGTGTGACTACTTCTCCATTGGTTGTATCATTTCTTCATATCATGTGCAAAAGTATAACATCAGAGATTTTTGCAAATGTTTTTGCCAAAACCAAGGTGCGCTTTTATTTACAGCATTCCAGTTATCTACTAACCTAATAAAATGAGTTCTTTCTTTTGTATGATCTGTTCATGTCAAACTAGCTGGATTTTAGTGATTATCATTTCCTTTTTTTATATGCTCACAAATTAATCAAAAGTTTTAATTATATATATATAGACAGACATATATAGATATAGATATACTTTTAATCATGAGTTCTAAATTATTACTAGTAATCCATGTCAAGCTTTGAATGCCTTCCATATATATACATAGTCTAAGGATTAAACACATTTGCCTTTTCAGAAAATTGAGACCTCTACCTTTCTCTTCTACTTTTCTCCAGGAATTTTCAAATGTCTTCGACAATGACCTAGTAATCACATCTTGAATTTCTTTCACTGCCATAAGATGTGAGCTGTTTAGACTTATTGAATGGAACTCAGTGTAGGTAGTTTGATGCTTATTTGTCCTGAACCCACTTATCTTAGATTTCACCTCCCTTTTTTCTAGCCTCCTTAGTGGAAGGATACATTTTCTTGGTAGAGGAAAAAAACGAAAAGGTGAACTGGATAGTCCTCCTTTCTCTACCCCTCCTCTGCTGTACTTTATCATCATCCTCCTATCCACCCTGACATGAAGTCCAGGGTGTTCTAGTAAATATATTCTTGTACTGAGGAGTCTAGAGCTTATTACTTAATTTTTATTGTGAGCATTTACACTCCAGAAATCAGCAAACACTACAAATTCAGGCTTGATTTGTTTTTTTTTCAATTGTCTAGATTTAAGAAAATTTTAATAATGCAGATAAAATTTAAAAGTGTGTTGTGGGTACATTGTTTTTCCTAGAGAGGAAATTGTCACTAAGACATGAATCTATCAATGCAGCTCAGCTTTTGGAAGTGATTCTAACCAGATTAAACTAGTGTGCAGATAACTGCAGCTCCCTTTCACCATTACAATATATCTCCATGTCATGGTTATATTGATTCCTAAACTTATGATCTATTTTTATTTTCTCATTTATAAGAGATGTATTGTACAATCCCGTGGCAACGTGAATAACTTTTCTCTTTCTGTTTTTCTCTCTCATTGTGTGTCTTCTGTCTCTCTCTCTCTACCAGTCTGTCTGTCTGTCTCTTACTTCTCTCTCTTTCTGTTTATCTCTGATTCTCTCAGTGTATCTCTGTCTCTGATTCTATTTTTCTCTCTCTGTCTATGTCTGTCTGTCTGTCCATGTCTGTTTGTCTGTCTTTCTCTCTCTCTTTCCCTTCCCCCCCACTCAAGATATCTCCACTTTGCTTCTGCCTTCTGATCCCTAAATTTTTTGATACATGTCTTCCTATAAAGCAATGCTACTCCTCTGTTCTCTGTACTCATTCTGTTTATTTTAAATGAGAAATGCTCTTCTAGTCTTGAATCCCTTTGCACTAATTCTCAGTGAAATGTTGGCAGAGAATTGCTAACCGTATCTACCTATTTCTGTCACTAAATAAATACTATGTATCCTCCCTCCTATTGTCCTCACCATAATTCTTTGGAGCCAAGAAGTTACTTCCTCCCCAGAGTTCACCATTACCCTCAGTTATAGCCATGTAAAATAAACCGAGGCTCCTGCCTCTCTTAAGATTCTTTTTTTCCTTGAAAACACTTTTTCAAATCTTTCATTCTCCTTGATAGCATAGAGAGTACAGAGTTGTTCCTCCAGTACCTTTACCTTCTCTTCTCATAAAAAGCTCAGCCTTTGTTTTCTGCATGCCATTATTTCCTTGAGCTGGCAAAAACACAAATATAGCATATTTTTTATAGATCATTATAAGATTCCTGCTTGACGATCAATATTTGATGAAGGTGAGATATATATTCTCTATTGTCCTTATGTCTAACTTATGTTTGCATGACTATTCAGTTGCTGGTGTTCCTAAACAGGACTTTATCCATATGCAGATTCCTTGTCTTTTTCTAGGCCTCGCCTGTCTTTGATGGAAATGTGACGCTTACTTCCTCAAATTAACTTTACACCATAATTAATGGATTCTTGACAAACTCCTAATGAAAGAGCTCAATTGCTATCTACATGATCTCAAGTAGTGATCTAAATCCAAATCATTTCCTTTGGTTTATGTTTTCTTTTCTCCTCTCCTTACTAATCAGACTTCAGATACCTTCTCCTTTCTTTCCATTTTCACTGATTTGGTGTGTTCAACATATCCAGTGTTGGACTCTATCCCATATCCTACATCATGCACAGTCTTCTTCAAAAGTTTCTTGTGATGGGATATGAAGCCAGATCCTCCTTAACTCTGAGGTCAATTCTCTATCCCCTTTTCCATGCCATCAAATTAAAAATAATTCAAACCAAAATATCTTACTAATTCCTCTCTGTATGTAGATGGCATCAAGTAATATGTCTCCCCAAAGCAAACAAAATAAATTGTTCCTTCATCTCATAGAATCTTTCTTCAATGATATCAAAATGTCGTGTGGGCTTGATATGTTTAAAATTCTTACGATTGGCCAAAGAAAGACTAAAGGCTTCAAGTTTGAATCTAGATGTCACGTAGAATTAGAAGATACCTTGGTCTCCTCCAAGAAAGAGACAATAAGCAAAACCCCATCCAGGAAGAATTCCACTAATGAATATGTCAAGATGCTAATATTACTAGCATTCTGAAAACAAAACAGAATGAGAAGAACACATCTAAATCAGCACCTATACAATGTCAGTGTTAAGGAAAGGTAATAAGCATGTGTTTTTTATTAAGCACTTAACATGTGCTAGGTGCCATGCTAACCTCTAAGCTCTGGGGGTACACACACAAAAAAAACAAAGACAGTCTGTCCCCTCAAGGGGCTTACATTCTAATGTGGGAAGACAACATACAAAAGTGAGTTGAAAAGGA